TTGGTTTTGAAGTATAATTACAACCATTATAGAAACGTCAAGAACTGAAGGAAACATCCCAAAGGCATATGGCCAGTTCTGGCTTAGCCAGCACAGAATAATATATTGCATATAAGGTCTCTAAAACATGACAAAAAAGAGAAAGAAACAAAGTAAGGCTTACACATCATTAAGTTCAGCTACTCTTCCCAGAAACTCTTCATAGGTTAGGAAACCACTTTCTTGAACCAAAGAGGCGTGCTTTGCTACTTTTTCTGGCAACTTGTTAATTACAGTTTGTGTGTGGTTTGAAATTTGTTGACCCATGGTGAAGTTCTTCACCTCAGTTCTGTAGAAAGAAGTTCTCATTCATTTGCAGAGTCTCTGCTAAAAATATTTGAGAGAGTTACATTTCATGGTTTTGAGTGGCTACTCCGTCATTTTCTTTTAGTGTAAGAATGTAGCCACCAACTAACTAGTCTACAATAATTATTCTACAAGTAACACAACCTGAACAGTCAAATCAGCAATGAAGCAGAACACTTGGAAGTGACTGGAAAGTGGCATTAAACTTATAAAAAATGTATTATTTTTCTTACAGCAATACCTATATTAAAGTATTTCTATTTTTCACACAGATTCAGCTCCAACGCACACATATATAAATACATCCAATGAAATGGAAAAAAAAATCTTAAGATGACAATGGTAATTTATGACAATCTTTGTTTATCCTAAATATTTCTGTATGTGAATGTCTGCAAATAAGCACATTTACATCTGTTTATACATAGACATTACATTAGGGATTAGCTTTCTTACATCAAACTTACATTGGCAGATCAAAAGAACTCCCACAGCATTCTGAAACTGGTAAGCCAAGGAATCCATGTCAGTATAAACCAATTTAGAAATTCCCCTAGCTGTCTGATAAGGATTTACCCTGTGCCTTCCCAGTCTTTATCCACTTCCTCTCTCTGATCCCTCTGATCTGACTTTCCCCCAAATGCCCCTTTGCTGAGTTCATCACTTGTAATGTAAACCATCGCTTCACACCCCTTTAAGACTTCCCCGGGCAGAGGTGTGCAATGCCCAGCTAACTGCAGCACACCCACCTGAGCTTAAACACAGATTAATCTGCATTAATACAGATAACAGCTGCATTACAAACACCTTATGAGGTGTTCACCCCCGAGAACCACAACTTCACCCTGTAGTTTCTTGTAGCTACACTTGGGTATAAACCCACCCAGGGACACAACCTACAGCTGTCGAGATCTGCCACGGTGTGAGAAACACACAGCACACAAAGGGAGCTCCTGCCAGAGCATTCTGTGAAGGATTAGGGCATTTCTCAACGTAAAATAAAAGTTCCCAATTACGGCTTGAGCTGTGACCGATTTCTATTCCCAGACAGATGTGCTCCCAGTGGAGTCACTGTTCTCCTTCCCAATAACGCTGCAGTCCCCTCCTGTCCCGCTCCCCGGGCCGTGTTTGGTGAGCACACGCCCAGCAGATACACGTCAAGCACCACCTCACAACAACACCTCCCGTCACTCTGCCCAGACTCCTCATCCCGATCTCTCGGGTTTGCATTCCCCGGAGCTCGAACGCCGCGTTCCCGAGGGAGCACCTGCCGTGTGCGGGCCTGCCCAGCTCAGCACTTGTATCCCAGCACTGAGAAGTTTTGTGGGAAAAAAGCCTGCGAGGATGTCTGCAGAACTGGTTATTGGGAAGAGGGTCTTCCCCCAGAGGGTGGTCGGGTACTGAACAGGCTCCCCAGACAAGTGGTCACAGCACCGAGCCGGACACAGCTCGAGAAGCGCTTGGACAACGCTCTCAGGCACACGGTGTGACTCCCGGGGTGTCCTGTGCAGGGTTAAGGGTTGGACTCGGTGCTCCCGGTGGGTCCCCTTCAACTCGGCATGTTCTGTGGTTCTAAGAAATGTTCCCTGCGGTGTATCCTCCAGGACCCGACACACCCTGCCTCACCCGCACACCCACGAGCCGCCCTGAGGGGCCCGGGCACAGCCCCTCGCGGCCCGGGCGCGCCCCGCCCTGCGCGGGCCCTCAGCGCCGGCCGCGGGACGGGCCGCGCTCAGCCCGGCGGCGTCTCCGCCCCGTCCCGCCCGCTCCCCCCCCGCCCGGCCCTGCCCGCACCCTCCGGCCCCCCCGGCCCAGCGCTGCGGGCGGGCGGTCCCGGCGGTCCCGGCATTCCCGCTCACCGCAGCCCCGGCACATCCCGCGGAGCCGCCGCCGCCCCACGGGCACCGCAGCGCCGCGCTCCGCGCACGCGCGGGGGGGCCGGCGGCGCGCGCGGGTGACGCCATCGCGCGGCTCGCACCGCCCCCGGGACATGGCGGGAGCGGGAGCGGGGCTGGGAATGGGGAGAAGGTCCTGCGGGAGCGTTCGCAAAGTCACAGAGCCCGTTGGGGTGGAAAAGACTTCTGAGATCATGGAGTCCAGCCTTTGACCGATCGCCGCCATGACAGCCAGACCATGGCAGCGCCTGCCACGTCCAGTCTTTCCTCAAACACCTCCCGGGATGGTGACTCCACCGCCTCCCTGGGCAGCCCGTTCCAATGTCTAATCACCCTTTCTGTGAAGACATTCCTCCTGATGTCCAGCCTAAACGTGCCCTGGCGCAGTTTAGGACTGTGTCCTCCTGTGCTGTCGCTGGTTCTCCGGGAGCAGAGCCCGACCCCCACCTGGCTACAGCCTCCTGTCGGGGTTGTAGAGAGCAATGATGTCCCCCCTGAGCCTCCTCGCTGTTACCCGGCCTGTCAGGCAGCAAAAGTGCTCTGTAGAGTTGTTCGTTTGGGTTTTTTTTTTGTTTGTTTGTTTGGGGTTTTGTTTGTTTGGTTTTTTTTTTTTTTTTTTTTTTTTTTTTTTTTTTTTTTTTTTTTTTTTAAAGAAACATCCTGTAATATCTTGACTGACCAAAACAGGATCACTTTTCTGCACCCTCATCAGACGCCTTCTCAGTGCTGCCCTGCTCAGGGTTCCCAGCACCCCAGGGGACGTAGGACCACCTGTACTATTCACTGTTTCCTATGATCTCTAATAAATGGCGATTTAAATGATGCTTAATGGAGCGTGAGCTCCTGCCTCGGTGGGATCATCCCAGGCCAGCGGCTGCTGGTGCAAATCCCGGTCTGCAGGGAGGATGTGGGTGGTGGATGTGTATGGCAAAGGTCAATGCTCACTGACCTTTTCACAAAAAAACCCAACACCCATAAAGGACAACAAGCCACCGAGGAACAGACATCCTAGAACATCCTCTGGGTCATCCACATCCTGGTGTTGCAATGTTTAATTATCGATTTATTTATTTAATTTTTTTTTACTTAATTTAAAGAGGAGAAAAGGAGTAGTACTTCCCCTTCCTGCCCACTTCTGTTCACACATAGACACACGTACTTCCCATGATAAAGACACCCCTGTATTCCAGACAGGGATTGGGCTGGACTGGCAACCTTGCTGTATTTCCTGCAGGCCAAGCACCCCTTTCACCTAAGGTCAGCAAACATCTGTAGCCTCAGTGTGGGAATCTGAGTAGTGTTACTGTCAAGTGACAGGACAAACTGTGCTCTCCTGCTCGGTGGGATGAGGTACTTGAACATAATACAATTTCTGACACATCAAGGAACTTCAGAGCTGTTGAGAAGGTCTTGTAAAAAGAAAAGCACAACACTTAGGAAAAGTCAGAAACATAATGAAGAATTTCTCTTAAGTTTCTGCTGCCTCCAGTTGTCTTGATACTTAAATAAATGTTTCCTGTCTGCACTGTAGTAGTACATCCCTTGCAAAGCCAATACAAATGAGCAAGAATGTTTTGTACTTTCCCATTTGAATGTGACTGAGCATACAGTATGTATGGATGTATGTATGTCACTACATACAGACAATATAAAATACAGTAACTGTTGATTAGTACTTAGAGCTACGTTTATTACATACAGAGCAGTGTAACAGGTCCTATATTCTTTGTAGTTTGGCATAAATTGTGTAATGGAAAGGAAGGGCAGATCAGGCCATGTGCATTGGTCAGCTGTCAGTGGGAAGACGAGGATGAGTTTCTAAAGTATATGATAAAACAAGACACAGGTTAAGGCAATATCTTATTACAACAGCTAGTATAGATTTTTTTAGCAAGCAAATGCTTCAGGGTGAAAAAAGCATCCTTATTTAGCTCTAAAACAGAAGCAACAAACTTCCAGAGTGAAACTACAGAACAATTCTCCAAATTTCTTTACATGTGAATGAGATAATCTGAGAGAAAAGGAACCTGGTATCTGTGGAACAGAGGTAATGTTAGCAGGAGAGTGAGAGGTAGATTATTATCCCTTGGTGGTAGGGGGAGAGAATAGAGAAACAGGTAATTTCTAATCTCTAAAACATGGAAAAGAGAGGCAGAATGGAGATTATAATATGTCACAAAAAAAATCAAATGCTACCTGGAATCCACTAGCTTTGTCTTTGTCCTTAGGCCCATTTACTGCTCTGGCACCATCATGACAAGTGTTGGTTGTGGCCCCTCCTGATGGCCTTAGTTGTGCTGCCTGCTCTCTCACACAGTGCTTTCATTCAGGTTGCCAGGAGAGACAGAAGGCATTACTGTGGTATTTTGCAAGGAGAACAGTTACTTATCTGAGTGGGAAGGCTGTGTTTTTAGTGCTGTCCTCTGCTGCACATTTAGCTGCTCAAGTTCTGCCAATGGACATCTGAAAAGAGTGGTTTTTAGAGCAGTACTGAGTCACAGTCTTTCTGCAGTAGTAAGGCTTTAATGGCAGTGGTGGACTGTGCGTCACCACAGTCCAGAGTCCTGAAGCCATAAAATATTGCTGAGTAATCAAAAAAACAAAAAAAAAAGAAGAAGAAGAAGAAAACAAAAAGCAACACAGGGACTCTCTAGTGCAGCAATAAACTGTAACTCACTATCTAGTGGAATATATAACCGCTGGGCAATTTTTAAACTTACATGAATGAAAAATGTCAAAGTTCATAACCCAGTATCCTACACTGTTGAAAACACAATATAGTGAGCAGTTCTATTGCTATTTTATTTAAGACTATGTTTTTCAAGCTTCTTGATGTAAAAAGAAACTGTCTTTGCCGTAATAATCTCGTTGACATATAAAAATAAGTCATCCAAATCGTTTGTTCAGGAAAATATTTGATAAATTGCAAGTGTTGTTCTTTTATAACTAATTAATTCTGTAACATTAAGATTATATGAGTCCTTTTTACTGTGAGACAGTTTTCATGAGAATAAATTGTCCAGACAAACATACCAACCATACTTTATTTTTTATGAAGCACTGTAAACATCCCATACCACCTGAGACCTTTATTATGAAACCCACACTTAAATATACACAAAATATCTCAAATATAAGTGTTGAGATACAGATCAAGGCTTTTTTCCCCACCCTTGTCATTATATCTGTTGCAGAAGATGATACTGGTTTTAATAAATAAAATTATGATAGGATGAAGGTGTGAAAGTTATTTATTGCTGTATATATAGACATCAACATCTTTGTACCCTTTCTTGGGTATTTGAATGACAGTGGGTTAATCCTTTGGTTTTTCACGCACTTGTAAACAGAACTATTTCTTCTGTTTGTAAACAGACTTTTTTTAAAACAGTGTGCAACTACTGGATGGAAATAAGCTGATCTACATGAGGAATAACTACAGTATCATCATTTTATATTAGACATTAAGTTAGCAGACATCCTCCAGCTGGATATAAAAACCTTTTAATGATATATTGGTCTGAATTCAATGCAAATAGTTAACACAGTGCATGTCATTAATAGCATATTCCTAATTACTTCTTTATTATAGATGAAAAATGAGCTGTAATATGGATTTTTTATTTATTTCAAGTAAATAAGATACCATGTCCTCCTGCAAGAATATTTGCAGACAAAGATGTAATTATTAAAAAACAAGGTTTCACATGTTAAGATAGAGAAAATACTCATGAGTATTCACAATCAGCCAAGTTTAAAAGCATTGCAAAGTTCTGTGTGCTTAATTTTATATTTCCATCAAGAATTGTACATTCTTTGCTTTAAACTTCTGCTTCTAGACATTTTACTGTGGCCTCAGGCTTAGTTTTAGACTCTTCTACCTTACTTCCATTAGTCTGTGCTTCCTTCTCAGGTGTTTTGTCATTTAACTTTGCCTCTTTGAGAGCAACAGTTCCAACCATTTCTTTTTCCTGAGTCTTGTTTAAAAATGGGAAGGTTTTCTTGTACCTTTAAATGGAAAAGAAAAGGATAGTAAAGCAGAAACATTGACATAGTTTGGTAGTATCACTCAGGAAATACAGTGAAAAATACCTAGAATTAACTTACTCTGCCATGCTCATGCAAAAATCTCACAGAGAATGATGGCATGCTAGATCTTTGTGGTTTTTTTAAGCACAAAGCTTTCTAAAGAAATATTTTAGTATTTTTTTTTTAAAACAGACAATATATATTCAGGATTTGTGGTACACAACAGTAAAGCTGTCCAGGCTAAGATATGAGAAATGCACAACTTTTTGATAGGATTTAGTGATGCACTGTGTTGAAGATCTTTACACATGACAAATGAGCTCAACTGGTTTTTTTTCCGAGCACAATCACAGTGCAATTATAAAATCTTTCACCTCGAGTCTGACATATTAGAAAAAGAGGGATAAAACTGCATAAACAGGCTTGTAAATGAACAGATGCACAATTCAGTGTTGTTATTTTGACACACTTGGAAATGTTTCACACCAGACGTGATTGACCAATCAAAAATAGGCAATATTTGTCTTTGGTTCCTTTTCTAAAGCAGAGAATGGCAACAGCAACAACAAACTTATCTGTACAGCAACAGGGTTTAAGGTTTTTTTTCTCTGTGCTTCACTTTTTTGTCATCATCATTACTTCTCTGCTCTTTAGCTATATGTTTTAAATATTCACTGGTTGTACTCTGGGGGTTAACTCAGTCTAAGATAGAAAAAAAAACCCACCAACTTACTTTTTGATATAACAGACTGCTAGGACAACTGAAATAATGAAGAAGATGATTGCCAGGACAAGAAGTGCAATGGGGACACCTGGAGATAAAAGTGATATAATCATAGAATTTTATTTGTACGTAATGCTGAATTTCTAAAGGCTCGTGAGCATAAATCCAGATTCTTCTAAAACCAGCCTAATGTAAGAGAACATACACATCAACTCAAAAATAGAGGTATTAGGAATCTCAAAAGATGAGTTACTCCTGCTCATTTTTTCAAGAGAGACTAAAACAGGTATTTAGGCAATCCCTGACAGATATTTGTCTAATCTGCTCATTGGAGAGTTTTTACAACCTGCCTAAGAGAACACATTGTTGGGATTAACTATCCTTACAGTTGGAATTCTTTTCCTCATATTTAGTCCATTTCTCCATTGCTATGTCTTAGGGTTACTTACTCACATCTCACATCTCGAGAACACCTCCATATTTAGATAACAACAATTCTCCTTAAAACTTCTTTGTTTTTAAGAGCTTGATGAATTTTCCACTACTCTGAGCACATAGTGTTTGCCAAGGCTTTTTTAGAGATGTATTTACCCCAAATCACATTAACCAGAAGGAACTTCCACTGTTTCATATCAAAATATTATCAAAGAGTATAAAACCAGACCTTACTTCTACTTAAAAATTATTTTAAAATCCTCTGCCTTGTAAGCTTTGCTTCTGCAAAACCCTAACACTTCTCTTCTGCCTCCAGGTTCATCAAAATGGATGCTGGAGCAGCAACCAAAAATAGCAGCAAACAGATTGACAACTAACTTCTACATAAGTCACTCTCCTGATGAAATAACTGCCCCACAAGGCCTTTACCTCCAAAGATGACGGAGTCGTTCTTAAAGGCAGAACGGGCAGTGTGGCTGGGAGAGGCGGTCGCAGAGGATTCCTCTGGCAGTGCTGTGGTGGTCCCCTCTGTGGGTAACGTTTCAGTTACACATATGACACGAAACCTTCTGTTTTTCAGGAATTGCTCTGGCTCAGCCACAGTGGGCACTGCTGTGATGTTCTCAGTGAAATCAGAGGCTGAATGTGCAGTCGAGTCCGTTGATGCACTTGATGAAGGAAATGTTGTTGTGGTTGGGTCTGGTTTACATGAATTAATCTGGACATCTGCAGCAGGGAAAGGAAATACATTAACAGTTGTGTTGGATGCTAGTTTTGTACTTACTGCACACACGTTTATTGAAATTGTCCCTCAGTCATTCCTTTCTGGAAATTATTATTTGTCCACAAAAGCCTTACCCAAATCAGCCATGGCCATTTCAAACATGTGGTTACAATGCAGATTACACAGCTTTTGGGGCCTCTGGTGGTCTAGTGGTTAGGGTGCAGGACTCTCACCGCTGCGACC